TACTGGCCTATTAACATCACAAATCCCTATTTGCAGCCCACTTTTAATTTAAGTGATCTTTCTATTAGGAGCACCACTTATGAAGTTAATCTGGAACAAAATCACAGCATGTCAATTAAAATGGTGTGACAGTGAGACCACCGTCAATTGGCAACTCCTAGCAGATGTCTTAATTAGGCTACTCTGTGGCAGGTTGACCCATGACACTCCGTGAAAGTCATTTTCAAGTTAGCTTCTGAGGGCTCTCTTCTCCTTCAAACTTTTTCTCTTTTTCTTCGTTCAGTTTAATCTTAGCTGTTATGAGGCTTCCTTTTATGCATTGTCCCCCAAGACTGATTTCTTTTTCTCTTTTCTTCTTACTGTGAATAAAAGTATTCCAAAGACACTATTCCATCCTTAGGGGCTGAGGTACTGCAAGCCTTAATCTATGGGAAGTCTTTTATCTTAAATATTCATTTGAAATTTGCATTCTTCTGCTTCAAAGAGTCAGGCTTGTTATAATATAAAAATTTGTTTAAAGCTATTTACTGTCTAGTAAAATCAAAGCCATGTAATTCTGTATCTTTGTATATTCTTGGCTCGTGCTACATGGGCGTGTTAGGGGTGGGGCTGCACCTTTCTCAGCTTGGAAAGTATGAGTTAATGTAAAAAGAGCTTTGGAAGAATTCAGACCTGAGTTTAAGACCTGACACCGTTATTTATTACGTGTCGGACTCGGGGCAACGTATGTAATCCAGACTGAGCTCTGCAAGGCCCAGGCTCCTCTTACTTTCCAGTGTCACGGAGATACAATTGACGTGCAACATTTTGTGATTTCAAGGTGTACATTGTGCTACTTGATATACATATATTTGCAAAATTATTACCACCATAGTGCTAGCTAACACCTTCATCATGTCAATCTAAGACCTGTTCTCGTAACAACATTCTAGTATAGAATATAGTACAGGGAACTGTATGCATCATGCTGTACATTAGATTTCCAAACTGTTCCTTTTACTGTTACCAGCGGGGAGTTGTCCTCCTCTCCATTGGTTGCTGGAAGGAGTGGGTCTCTTGCGATGTAGCAAAAACAAAACAAAACAAAACAAAACAAAAAGAATATTTTGAGACTTACACAGGAGGGTGAGATATTGGAATTATACCCCTGCGTTTCCAAGGTCCATTTCCCTTTGCCCCACCAAGGAAGAAGTCCCGTTTTGGTTTTAGCAGAACTAGGATTAGAACTATTGCCTAGAGTTTCTGTTCCATGTTGGGACACAGTCCAATCTGGCATCAGGCTAGCCTAGTTTGTGTTCCCTCATGCAATTCGTTAGTCCATTGCATGTGGGGTCAGAAGGGCCACACGGCTTGGAGGGAACACGGGCAAATGCAAGAGAGCCCCAAGAGCCCCCAAGAGCCCCAAGCCAGGAGTGCTAAGAGCCAAGCACACCCAGAGAATGAGTTTCTTTCTCTTGAGATTATGGATCCTCACATTTCTGTGGGTTTTCATTGGCTCTACCCCCTCTAGCCAATCCATGGTTCCCCAGGCTAGATTGACAGGGAAATATCTTCCCTACATCACCCCAAGTTTACTGTGCATTCATCTGTCTTACCCTTTGTTGGGCCCCTCCCCCCAGTGGTTTGCGGGGAGTGTACCAGTGGTTTTCTGGGGAGTGCAAAATTGCAGCTTCATGGTGAAGCTGCTGGAAATGACATGCTTATACTGTCTGGCCTCCCTTTTGCTCCTTTTCTATTATTAATAACTAGCTAATTACAATGGTTTCAATTCTCCCTTTAGAGAAAACTGACCTCTTTATAATTTTACAAAGGGTAAATGGGCAAAAGTTTCCATCTTCTTGTAAATACTTCATGCTGTCAGAGGGGCGTAGTCCTGTTATCCCAAGGCTCAGAGGTTCTCCCTGTCTGACAGAGGAAGGAGGAGCAATAAGGGAGTCTTCGTGCAGGGCAGAGGGATTCTGCAAAGCTCAAGACAGTCTAATGTTCCGGGAAGATGGCATAGGTGATATCAGAGGATGGTGCGTTGGACAAGCTGGCTTCCTTGCTGTATTCTAGAAGTGACAAACTTGACAAGAAGGCTAAAAGGCATAATTCAAAAGTGAGGAGACTTAGAGCAACTAAAGGTCTGTTGAGAGGTAAAAGCCCATGTGATAAAGGGAAAGACTTACTTCACAGTGTACCAGACTAGGCTGGAGGCGTGGCTTCCCCGGAGGCAGGTGCGGCACACCTGGTTGAAGCCCTTTTGTCCACTCTACTTAACTCAAGTTAAGCTAGGGGATACTCTGAGATTTCCCCTATCAGGAACTGTGGGCCTTTTCTCTCTGAACCATTTGGGCAGAAAAGGGAAAGCACTTTCAAGCAAAGCCAATATACCATCCATGCTTCATTGACTCAACCACAAGTTCAAATTGTTAAGTCCAATTTCAGGAGATGGTGATGCGGATGGCTTCCAAAGTGAGGTTTATACTGTGTGAACAAGTGATCAGGGAAATAGGAAAATAGGCATACAGTCTGTAAAAATAGAATAAAGAACACAAAACACAAAGGTTAATGCACACAGCAAATTATAAAACAGTTAAGAAGACTTCCAGATGCAAGGTTTTTGCTGGGATGAAAGCTAGCAGTACCAATCTGATAGATTTTTCTGCAGCTAAAAATCTCCTGTGATGTTATCAGGTGCTTAATTTTATATGGCACACACAGACACAGCCTTAAAAACAAAACTTTGAAGACAGTTAACTGCACTGGAGTCCAATATCCACAATTGGGCATTGTAATTTTCTAATGAAATACAATTTTTCTTTCTTAGATTATCTTCATTTTCAAAGAGACTGCATGAAGTCCAGTTTTAATTAGGCTTGATTATTTGCATAAGCACAACAAGAATAGTAACTGATCAAATAGGTCAAGCAGGCTTTTCAAATCTGCTTTGCTGGAACTTTCACAAGGAATCTTTAGACTGAGTCATGGTCAGCCCTTCAGTGCAAAGAAGGCAAGCCATCATTGGCATCAGGCTTTGCCTTCAATACATGTAGGTTCTAGTAAATTCTCAAGTTCGTGAGGTCTCTCAAGGTGTCTTGAGTTCCCTTCATTGCCATCTTTCAGGAAAGCAATCGTCATTCCTTATTTGGAAAGACTACCATGAACCATGTGACCAAGCAAGGTCCTAGGCCATTTCTGCAGTGGTCTTTGATCAGCTCCGAAAGTCAATCTTAATTCTTTATGGCTTTTAGTGGTATTCAAAGTCCAGGCATGTCTCTCTCTCATATTTTTTTATCCTCGTCCGAGGACATTTTTCCATATTTTGTTCAGATAGAGTGGGAGGGGGAGAGAAAGAGAGAAACATCGACGTGAAAGGGACACATCAAGTGGTTGCCACCCGCACAACCCAACCAGGGCTGGGGGCAACTGCAACCGAGGTACATGCCCTTAGCGGGAACTGAACCTGGGTCTCTCTGGACCACAGGCCGACGCTCTAACCGCTCAGCCAAACCGGCCAAGGCCAGGCATGTGTCTCTTAAACACAGTGTTCCAGTCAAAGTCTTAGTTAATAAGACCACAAATGAAGCCTGGTCTTATTGGATTTATGCAAAGAAATATATTGCTGTGACTCACCATCAACAATTGTCATATTCTGGGGCATCAGATGGAGAGGAAAAGCTAAAAGTAAGCAATTCGCACTTCTGAGGTTGGCAAACACATTCCATAACTTGTAGAAATATAGGCTCTTTTACTGCCAAACACACTGACATTTTAAGAGATATACCTCAATGAGACAGGTATTATAGAGCAAAAGTCATTTATTTAGAAGATTACAGGTGAACTAAGTTACAGTGATTGTCTCAAACAATTTAGGCTCGAATAGGATCTACTTTTCAGAATCTGTATTCCAAAAGATGGCTCAGATAGTCCTTTCCTTGAAAAACTTAGAGTAAAACTCTTATCCAGAGTATGCACTCTGAGACACCATGAATGGAGATTGTGTTACCTATTGACTACAGGGAGGAAAATCTAAACCTTTCGTCCTCATGAGAGAGGGAGAAAAACATTTCATCCTCTTCAAAGAGGGAGAGATTTGGTAGCTGAGGGAAAATGTGAGTGTCCCCAACTTTTCCTAGCTCCACTGTTGTGTTGCCAGAGCCGAGGATGGGTACACAACCCCCACTGCCAGGCTCAGTGTCCTAAGACTCATTCCTCACCCCTCCCATGCCAGAGTCTGAGATCTTCCCAAAATAGTAGTACAACTTTCCAGATGTGGAGTCTTACCAACAGTGACTCTTTAGCAGGCACTGTTTAGTTGGGTTTATTTAACTCCACACATGGGATACCGATGGCCTCTGACCTTGCTGAATGTTTTTTCCCTCTGTCTTGGGTAGAAAAATTCTAACCTTTAACTGGGCCTGAGACGGGGAGAAAGAGCATACCCTGTTAACTGGGCAAGACAGAGATTTAGCACGTGGGCCCTGGGGTTAAATTCTGTTAGCAGTAAGTCTCCAAGATTAGGTAATAAAAACCTTTCACTTCCTTGAGCACCTATACATTTGAGGCTTTTCTATATTAGTTATACCTGTGGAAGAAGCATTAATGACAAGTAGCAGTGTGTGCACGAGCCAAAATACACAGCAATTGTGTCTGCAATGTAAGCTAAAATCGACCAGGGCTGCCTGGCTATGGCACTAGCAACACAATGACCAAGGGAGGTGTTCTCTGGCAAGGCAGCCCAGATGGCCATGCCTATAAGGTCTGGCCTCTCTTCTGTTCCTTTCATATTATTAATAACTAGCTAATTACAACAGTATCATTACAACTGGAAGTTTGTACTGTTTGACCAATATCTCCCCATTTCTCCCAACCCCCAGCCCCTGGTCTCTGTATCTATGAACATATTTTTTTGATTCCCCATATAAGTAATATCACACAATAATTGTCTTTCTCTGTCATATTTACTACACTAACATAATGCCCTCAAGCTTTTCTTGTTGTTGTTGTACTTTTATTTTTTAAATATGGAATGCTTCAAGAATTTATGTGTCATCCTTTTGCAGGGGCCATGCTAATCTTCTCTGTATCATTTCAGTTTTAGTATATGTGCTGGCAAAGTGAATACATGTCCTCAAGTTTTATAGTTTCATGCATGCTGTCACACATGGTAGATGTTCTTCATCATGGCTGAATACCTCACTGTGTACATATGTGTATATGTATATGTATACATAGACATACATATATACATGTATAAAAACATATACAGTGTGTGTGTGTGTGTGTGTACACATCTACTTTATCCATTTTCCTGTTAACAGACACTTAGGTTAGATTGTTTCCACACCTTGGCTACTGTGCACAATGCTGCAATAAACATGGGACAGCAGATACGTCTTTGATATTCTGTTTTTGTTTCCTTTGGAAATACACCCAGAAGTGGGATTACTGAGTTTTATGGTAGCTCTATTTTTAATGTTTTTAAGAACCTCCACGTTGTTTTCCATAGTGGCTGCACCAATTTACATTCCCACCAACAGAGCACAAGGGCTCCCTGTCTTCACATCCTCACCAACACTTGTCAGCTCTTGTCTTTTCGATGACAGCCATTCTGACAGGTGTGAGGTGCTATCTCACTGTGGTTTTAATTTGCATTTCCCTGATGATTAGTGATATGGAGCATCTTTTCAAGTCCCTGTTGGCCATTTCTATGTCTTCTTTGGGAAAAAAAGTCTATTCAGTTCCTCTGCCCATTTATAAATCAGATTTTGTTTTGTTTTGTTTTTGTTATTGAGTTATATGAGTTCTTTATATTTTTAGTATTAAAATAGTATTTAGTAATAAGGGTATTATATATATGTTTCTTAAAAATATTTTTTCCATTTTGTTGATTGAGTCTTCTGGTGTACAGAAGCTTTTAGTTTGATATCTCACTGATCATTATTTTCTGTGCTGCTTTTAGTTTGGTGTCATACCCAAAGTGTCATTGCCAATGCTAATGCTCAGGAGATTTTCCCCTGTTTTCTTCTAGGAGTTTTGTTCTTCTAGGTCTTACATTTAAATCTTTAATACATTTCAAGTTAATTTTTGTGAGTGGTGTAAATAAGGATCCAAGTTCATTCTTTTGCATGTGATTATCCAGTTTTCCCCTCACATTTATTTCTTGTAAATTATTTTTCTAGTGAGCGCTCTTGGCTCCCCTGTCAAATATTAGCTGAGCATGTATGTGAGAGTTTATTTCTGGGCTCTAGCTTCTTCCATTGGTTTGTGTGTCTATGCTAATGCCAGTACCGTACTATTTTAATTACTGTAGGGATTCTGTCTTCTCTGCTCCCTTTCCATCCCTATCACCTAGCTCAGAACTTAATATCATAATGGCACCCAGACTTCTAGGAATATACCCTCAGAAGCCTGAAACACCAATCAGAAAGAATATATGTACCCCCATGTTTGTAGCAGCACTATTTACAATCGCTAAGATCTGGGAACAGCCCAAGTGTTCATCAGTAGACGAATGGATAAAAAGCTGTAGTACATATACACAATGGAGTACTATGCAGCTGTAAGAAAGAAAGATCTCTTATCCTTTGAGACGACATGGAGGGACCTTGAAAGTATCATCCTAAGTGAAACAAGCCAACAGAGAAAGACAAGTTTCATATGATCTCACTTATTTGTGGAATATAATGAACATAACAGTCTGAGGAATGGAGTAGTCCCAGAGACGCGGAAGTGGGGTACAGACTGACAATCCCCTAAAGAGGGGGGTGGTGGGGGAGAGATAAACCACAGAACTTATATGCATGTATGCATGAACAGTGGACATGGACAACAATCTGGGGAATGGGCGGGGGGGGAGGGGGAATCAATGGGAGAAAAAGGAGAAACATCTGTAACAAAAATTAATTAATAAAAAAGAAAAGAAAAAAAAACATTGTTTTATGCCTAAACATATTTTCTTTCTAAAAGAGCTATAACAGCTACATCACAGTATTTTAATGAGCACAGTATTTTAAAGAAGTGTTTCCTCTTTAAAAATATATATAATTTTCTGTAGAGTTACATGAGTATTTTGTGATGAAGAAATGCCTAAGCAAAGTTAGATGCTATCAAATAAGATGGCATTTTATGGTTTCTCTTGAAAGAAGCAGGGTGCAATGCCATGTACAGAGTCTAAGTGGAAAGGGAAGACTGAAGAATCTCCTGCTGTCACAGACCAAGAGTCAGCAAACATTTATTGAGAAGGTCAAATAGCTAATATTTTCAGCTTTGTCAGCCACACCGTGTGGTCACAGCTGCTGGACTCGGCCACATAGAGCCAAGGTGGCCAAGGGAGTTCTAAAGGAACAGGTGTAGGCAGCTGTGTCCCGGGGACACTGTATTCACAGAAATAGGTGCTGGGTTGTGCTGGCCCAAGGCCAGGTAGACTGCATAGACCCCTGCACCGTTTTATTGTGCTTTGCTTTACTGCATTTTGTACTTAACAAATTGAAGGTTTGCTGCAACCACCAGCAAAAAGAATACAACTCACTAAAGGCTCAGATGATGGTAAGCAATTTTTAGCAATGAAGTGTTTTTTAATTAAGGTATGTACGTTTTTTTAATACATAATGCTATGGCATACGTAATAGACCACAGGATAGTGTAAGCATAACTTTGCTATGCACTGAGAAATGAAAGGATTTGTCTGGCTCACTTTATTGCAACATTTGTTTTACTGTGGGGGTTTGGAACCAAACCTGCAGTATCTCTGAGGTATGCCTGTAAAGACCATGCAAACCGCCCTGGCCGGTTTGGTTCAGCGGTTAGAGCATCCGCCTGCGGTCCGGAGAGACCCGGGTTCGGTTCCCGCTAAGGGCGCATACCCCGGTTGCAGTTTGTCCCCGGCCCTGGTTGGTCGTGAGGGTGGCAGCCACTCGATGTGTCCCTTTCACATCGATGTTTCCCTCTCTCTCTCTCTTCCTCTCTCTCCCTCCCACTCTACCTGTGCAAAAAATGGAAAAATGTCCTTGGATGAGGATTAAAAAAAAAAAAGACCATGCAAACCTATGACTGTATTCAACCTAACTTAAATTAAAAACAAAATATAGTAGATGAAAGTTTCAAAGTACAGTAGATAAAATGAATTTAAGCTGAAAAATAAATTGTAAAGTACAATGCGCATAGTAGGTTATTTCTGATATTGGTGCCAATATAGTTCCTGTATAAGACAGCATTCAACCCTCCTTCTTTAAATAAACTTGGTTCCAGAACATTTGGGTTTGACTTCAGCAATGTCTAGTGTGAGGTTACAGGGCTGTTTCTACATGAATTGGAAGCCTTAATCCAAACTGAGCCTCAGAAGGTGGGACCGCTGTCTAATGGCGAGGAGAGACCCCCAGACCAGGGAATGGCTTGGCTCACCGGTGACCTTGTTTAAGTCACTAAGCCATCGCGCCAAACCCGAGACAGTAACAATGATAGAATAAAAAGTGTTTCTCTAGGGCCTTCAGAGATCCAGGGTAGGAAGTGCTTCATCAAGACAAAAAGCAATTTTCTTAGTTTTCCTGAAACGGTTTTGTGTTCCAATATAAACTGTAGGCAGCGATTAGATGAAAAAGAAACAGCATGGACTTTGAAGACCAAGATCCAAATTCAAATCTCGTTTCTCTCACATCACTTGTGATGAGGTCAAAGTTTCTTAATCCTGTTAAGCCTCCATTTCTTCATCTGTGAAGTCCAGATGCTCAAACCTGTCCTTAGAGGGTGCAACTGGTTGAGAGGTTCCAATGAGCAGGGCGTCTGAGCTAATACGTGTTTTTAGCAGAGTTGATGATGCAAAGCAGAGGCTCCATAAATGTCATTCTTTGCTTTCTCATTTCTTTTCCCCAATAACACGTAAAATAAGACCTTTCCACTGCTCTCAGCCAGACCATCCATTTCCCCGGCTAATTAAATGAGACTTTTATCACTCCTTCCCAGATGTGAAATTATACCATTGGTCTCATGCCTACTGTATCTTAATCTCTTTGCTAATGTACCATTTTACCTCGAATTGTTACACAGGGTTCTGCCCCTCCTACTATTCTCTCCACTTGCTGCAAAGTCAGGAGTCAATTCTTTTCGAATATGATTGTTCTAATAATAGCACTCTCCCAAAATGTCTCAGTCACTCTCATCTTAGCCTGTCACACTGCTTTAAGTCATCAAGCTGTTTGCAACTGTTCCTTTCTTTATATAGCTGTAGCAATCCATGCAAAAGCCTCGGTGCAGTGTATGTGCATGCACACCTATATCTCTTTCTCCTTTTCTAAGACTTGTTTGGAAAATAAATTATCAGCGAACAAGATTTTAGATAAATGCAAAAACATATTTTAGAAATCGCAAACTTTTTTTTAAATTAATTTATTTTTGTTACAGATGTTTCTCCTTTTTCCCCCACTGATTCCCCTTCTCCCTCCCTCTCCTGCCCTGATCCCAGCTTTGTTGTCCATGTCCACTGTTCATGCACACATGCGTATAAGTTCTGTGGTTTATCTCTCCCCCACCACCCTCTCTTCTGGGGATTGTCAGTCTGTACCCCACTTCCACATCTCTGGGACTACCCCATTCCTCAGACTGTTATGTTCATTATATTCCACAAATAAGTGAGATCATACGATACTTGTCTTTCTCTGTTTGGCTTGTTTCACTTAGGATGACACTTTCCAGATCCCTCAATGTCATCTCAAAGGATAAGAGATCTTTCTTTCTCACAGATTCATAGTACTCCATTGTGTATATGTACCACAGCTTTTTTATCTATTCATCTACTGATGGACATTTGGGCTGTTTCCAGATCTTAGCTATTGTAAATAGTGCTGCTATGAACATGGGGGTACATATATTCTTTCTGATTGGTGTTTCAGGCTTCTTAGGGTGTATTCCTACGAGTGGGATCACTGGGTCAAATGGAAGTTCAATTTTTAATTTTTTGAGGTAACACCATGTTGTTTTCCACAGTGGCTGCCCCAGTCTGCATTCCCACCAGCAGTGTGCTCGAAATCGCAAACGTTTAAGGCTTGATGGGAAGCCTACCCACCTGCACTCGCTTGGTGCTTTTAATTCCAAATGCTTCTTATCCATTTGCTAAAGCAGATCAAATAC